GCTGCGTCCTTCTCCAGGCCACATCTACTGTAGGTGAGACCAGCTACGTTTCCTACATAACCTCTTGTTCAGATCCCTGCTTCCGAGATTTAAATCCTTCAGGGCTTTCTGAGGAAGGCAGATTCCTCTTTCCATGTCTTTCCAGCTCTTTGATCCGGGAAATAGGTCAACTTTTATGCACTGATTATGTGAACCATGCATATTTTAATTAGCAAAATTTCATTTTTTTTTCTACTGCTAGTTCTGTTTAAAAACAGTTTTAGACAAAGTAGACCTCTGGCATTAAGGCTTCCAACGCCTTGTTAGATGTACAATCTTTGTAAGAGCTTTTATCTCTGAAGCTCTTTTGGAGCCTTAGCCAGTTGAGTTACATTCTGAGTTTCTCAATTGTGGTCATTCAGAAAATATTCATGGGCCGTAGGTGAAAATGTCCTTAAGACACTGATTTGATTTACTGCAGGTCAATATTTTGGTATTCTCATATATTCTCATATGCATTCTATTATCACAATGGTTCTTGTTTACATTGCTATTTGAGAAAGCCGTTTTTTCCATTAGAAACATTTATGATTATTTCTCTTCAATTGTTCTAGCTTTGTTATCATAATGCCATATATTGGCCTCTAAAATGTGTCTAGAAAAGCCTGCAGCTGTTCCCTCCTTGGTTTCTCTCTGTTGAATTATGTTTAAGTCAGTGTATCTGAAAACAGGCAGTAATAGAAGGGATATTATCCTTAGTAAATATCTTCATCGTGATAAATCTCTCTTGCCCTACAAGTGACTGCATGGGGATTAGAGTTGAGTAAGCATTTGCTGAATATCACTGCCACCTTTCCTAGGCCATTTAAATGTGTTTAATTTTTCAGGGTGAAACATGAAGCCCACTAATACAAATGTTTGTATTTGGACTGAATTATATCTAGACTGTAACAGTTAGATCAGGGTTAGGGCCAGATTGTGACTGATCTGTAGGAGGCCAGTTCTACTTGAGAGAACGAGAGAGAAGAATGCAGATTCATTTCTAGTCACTTACGCTGCTTCAGTTCTTTTCAATATTTATATAATGCTATTATGGGTTGAAGTACCAGTAAATATATGGATGATGCTTTGCTCTGTATTGTTTTTCACATCAGTCACAGCCCTTAAAATTACCCGATGCCTGGGAGCCATCACTGTCTGGATGTAAGACAACTGGCTTTAGTTCATCCTGGCTAAGATGGAGGTGGCAGAGCTATGAAACAGAAAATACTTCCAGGGGTTTTATGTCCTACGTAACATCACTTTCTGTTTGTTTATGTAGACTTCTGTCAGGTTGCCCAGAAACACAGAGAGAACCTGTTCTCCAATGATCAAACTCATGGGAAATTTTAAGGAGTCTGAAGTAATACTGTGTGCTTCATCTGTATTTGTTCTTTTTTAGTCCTTCCTTTCAAAAAAGTTGCATTTTAATCTGTGACAGCTCAGGGATCTGCACTCTTGATAAGCCCTGCCTTGGCTGTAACCGAGTATTCGTGTCCTTGGTAAGCAGCAGCTCCAGCAGACTTTCTTATGGCAGAATTCAGTGGCTCTGAGGAGGTGACATCTGTTGCAGATGGTGTAGCCCTCCTGCACCACAATGCAGCATGTCAGCAGCACGTCGCCCTGCGCCAAACCCCAAGGAGTGCGTGGTCAGCTTCATTGCCCTGGTTTAGTACTGTGAGTCACTCATCAGACAGTTTCCCCCACCAGCTCTGAATGTAATTTCCCAGAGCTGCTCTGAGAGTAAGAACTGAAAACGTGCTTTATTGTTGATTTTCTCAGCTCCTGGACTGACTCTCAGCAGAGGTGTGAATGGCATCTGGAGAAGATACAATACTCACTGCATCCAATCCCAGTGAAGTTTCCAAATCACAAGCTCTAACTTTGAACAATCAACAGAACTTATTAGGGTTCTAAGGGCCTTAAATGAGACCTCAGGACATGTAGTTAAGCAATCAGTTACACTTGTTAATTGGGAGTGGTAGCTAGTAATAAATCAGAAGAGGAAATTGAGTTACTGCCCTCTAAGAAACAAGAGCTTTGCAGGGGACCCCAGCACTTGTTCTTTAGGCATACTGGGATTTTTCTTTTTCTTAAGTTGATCTACTATTTCATATTTCAGCCAGTCAGGAGTGTTTTCTCTTTCTGTAGCACTGCTGCAACTATGTATAGCTTGCCCTATTGCACAGTTTAATGCCCTAGTGCTTTTAGCTTGAAACTATTGTTTTTTAAGTTTATTAATATCTGTTATACACTGTTAGGTGTTAACACTGTGTAACCAAATTTAAAGCTGTGATCCCATTTCCATCCCAGAAGATACAGAAGTCTTATTTAAAAATCAAACAAACTGGAGATGAAGATAACCACTCAGTATATTCAGTGTGCCATACAGGTAATGGTGGTAATGACTGCAGTACCCACACAGAAAGTATGGGCAGACTGGTTCATTAGAGCAGTGTGAGGTATCCTCTCTCTCTGCATACTTTGATGTTAAAAAGAGCTTCTGTTGCTGCCTCCAGTCTGTTCTGCATGCAGAGCTGGCCGTGGGTTGAGCACTGCAGGTATTGCTGAGTATGTTCTTTTAACAGTCGGGTTCTCCCATGAATGAGTTACATCTTAATTCTGCCTTCATCTACAGGGAAGAGAGCTGGATAAGAAGGTGTTTCCCTGCTCCATAAATCTTTTGGATGTCTGAAAGTTTTCTGGTGGTGGCATGAAAGATAGAATTTTTCAGAGATTTTTATACGAAGCTGGAGGGGAAGAAGGAAGATGAGATACCCAAATAACTGGTGTGTGGGTTTAAGTTTGTCATCTGGTCTGTGAGGGTCTGGGCCACAGCTTCTACTCTCTGAGTGGTTCCTCTAATTGTCAGGTAATAGGATATTTTGAAGGGGCTGTTTTTTAGCTTTGAGTTGGAATTTCCATGTTGAGCATAAGGAGTCACTTGGACACTTCTTTTCAATCAGTACGTGTGTGTTTTGGTGTAACGTGTTTCCTTCATGTAGTTTCTTCTGAAAAAACTGATCCCACTGTTAGCAGGGGTTGAACCAGATTGTGTTCCAAGAAGCCTTCCAACCTGAATTCATCTGTGATTCAACTTTTGTGGAGCATTTCTGTCTAGCTCCCATTAGGGATAAATGATTCCTGGGCCAGTAGTTGCAGTACGGTAAAAACTGTTGAATTATGTCACATCTCCCATGATGCAAAAAGACTTAAGTCACATAATCATGGAATTGCAGGGATTGGAAGGGACCTCAAGAGATCATCAAGTCCAACCCCCTGCAAAGCAGGTTCCTTCCCTACAGCGGGTTGCTCAGGACGGTGTCCAGGAAGGTCTTGAATATCTCCATAGAAGGAGACTCCACAGCCATTCTGGGCAGCCTGTTCCAGTGCTGTCACTCTGATGGTGAAGAAGTTGTTCCTTGCATTAGTATGGAACTTCCTGTGTTCCAAGTTCTGCCCATTGCCCCTTGTCCTACTGTTGCTCACCACTGAAAAGAGTCCATCCCTATTGACTTTGCTTTCACACTTTAGGTGTGGATGAGGCAACGATGAGATCTCCTCTCAGCCTTCTCTTCTCCAGGCTGAACAATCCCGTCTCTCAGCCTTTCCACATATAGGAGATGCCCCAGGCCCTTCATCATCTTTGTCACCTTCTGCTGGACTATTTCTAGGAGATTCCTGTCTTTTTTGAACTGGCAGCCCAGAACTGGACACAGTATTTGAGATGTGCATTAAATTAACTAAATATTAAGTATTAAACTGTAATGAAAATATCTTGTGTTCTTATTTATTATGTTTTATAAATATGGACTTAGCAGAAGTCTTTGTCTATCTGTATATATAGATATATCTATTTGTGATATCACACATAGGGACAACTATCATGTCTGTACTATACACAGGGCCTGGGACAGTTGCTGGCGCTGGCTGATGATGATTTACACTCTTTAGTTGTTAGCATGCTCTGTGGCACGGCTTTGATCTGGAGCAGTCAGCAGCATTAAGATGATGACTGATTATGCTTTGGAGGTTACTGTGGATCAGGGACATAAGTAATGGGAATGACTTCCCATTAAGTCATTCAGATGCGACACCTTGCAAGTAGGGAAGAAAGGAGTTCAGCTGTGTGAATGCCAACTGAATTATATCAGTTGGCTTTGGGGCTGGAGAGTAGTCTTTGACCTGTTGTGACTACATTTCTAACGGTAAATAGTGCAGTCAAGTGGAAAGTAAGTCACTCTACTGAGACTGGGGAGGTTGGTATCAGCTGAGTTGATCTGAAGCATGCATGTTCGTTTTCTTTCTCTCTATCTTGCATGCTTATAGATGTCTAGCTATTAAGACTCAGCTCTTCAGATTAGTGTTATCTTCTGTGCTGTTTTAGCAGACATGCTTGGGGAGGGCCTGTTCTAGGTTGGGACCTCTAGGGGTTCCCATAATACAGATAATAGTAAAGAGAAGGGAATGATGAGATTTCTTGTGAAATAATTGCTTAGTCGTTATGGCAGATGTAAACTGAGTTCTTTTGTGTGCAGCAGTCTTAGAAAAGCGACAGTATATTTTGTGGCTTTGGACTGTCTATTTCAAGGATTTGAGGGGCAGAATATGGAACAAAAATTTGGCACATGAAGGGCTGATGAGAAATGTGTCTAAAGATGTGCCTTCGCCTACCCCTGCCACAGACTTCTAATATCCCTAGGAGAAATCTCTCAGTTGCCATACTTCATGCACGTGTCCACCTATTCATTGGAATTCACATGGGCTGGGTTGAACAGTGTTCATTAAGTGTTCTGGTAATGCAAGTGATCACTGCTACTCTGGCAAATGCAATTATAAAGCTGAGCTTCTGGCAGCTGATGTGCATCTCTGGACAGATGCCCGGTCACTACTGCCTCTGACAAACTCACACCATGGAGAAGTGATGAGGCTGCTGGATGCTTGCCTCTGTATCAGCTGAGTAATTGTTTGTTTTCTTCTAGATGAGTACAAGAGTAAAGTAGCCTGTGAAGATGACAAGCTGCGGCTAAGCTGTAAGAAGAGCATGGTGATAGCCATTTATTCTGCTATCTTTGGAAGGACACGGGGAGGCAGCCTGGAGTGCCCGTACCAAAACCTAGGGATGCACATGATTGGTAAGAATGGCTTTATGGAGCACACTATTCTGGGAGTCTGAGCAGGTTTATCTCATTTACTGTCATCTCACAGTGCTGGCAGAGAGCCTGGGTAGGAAAGGCAGAACTGGCACATGCAACCTGTCACTGTTGTGCTCCTGATGTGTGGAGCTTCCTTAGCCAGTGGTGAGCTGCATCATAAGTGCCTAACTGAGGTACAGGTAGAAGCCATGGCCAAGTTAGGAAGCTGCAGGCTTTTGGCAGATTCATCAGACTTCAGGGTGCTCCTTGAATTCCTTACTCAACTGTTTGCCTTCCTGGTACTCCATACCCTCTATCTATACCATGGAGATGTGTATTATTGGTAGGTGTCATGGACTGTCTACGGCTAAGTCAAGCCTTAACATTGTATTTAAAATTTTATTCCCATTAAAGCAAGGGGTAAAAATTCAAAAAGCAAGCTGTTAAGTTGAATCACGTTACAGTCAGCTCGGGGTACCTCTGAACAGATTCTTTACTCAGGCTATCGTAGTTTCTTACATTCATGTGTTGAAGATTCATAAACTTCAGAACATTCACTAAAACTGTCTGTTCTTGAGCCAACGTGAAATGAGTTTGAGCATTTTAGGCTGTGTCAGAGCGTATGTCCTTAGTGCAAAGCCAGGTGGCTGGCATTCTTCACCACTTTCTGCAGAACTGAAAAGGGGCTAACCACTTTTGCAAAAGAATTGCCTCTAGAGAGGGAAGGGCTTCAGAAAGGGCTGCAAAAGTAGCTTAAGGGGCTGCTGTGGTCTGTGCTGGTGTCTGTTCAACTGTACCTGGAGATCTTTGGTTTCACAGCTGCTGATCCTGTGCCCTTAAGGAGTTAAATGCTGTTCAAATGGAACCATGCTTGGAAACATGATATGCAGGTGATGGGTGTCAGTAGATGAGTGGTAGAACCAGGCTTGTCAATTAATTTGTGCTGCATGGAGAGTGCCTTCGCTGTGTAACTGGAAAAACCTCAGCACTTGCAGCATGGTGGAGTAGTTCAGGGTCTCCTACACAGTCCTATGTTTTGAATGCAGAATGGTAGAAAAGTCCCTGTTCTTTAATCTCCCATCTTTGGAGGTAACACATGCCTTTGGATGCACTCCTTTTGTTCCCTAGTTGGAGTAGAAGCTATTAAGTTTGACAGGATGGCCGAAGCAGGCAGACCAGTGCAGTGGTGGTTTGACTGCTGGATGACAACTTGCCAAGTCAACAAAATTGGATGGGTTTCTAGAGCACACCTGAGCACACTGCTCCTTTTTCCTTCCTGAGAGTGCAGAAAAAGACATGTATTGGTGACAAAGTGCTAATGCTGGGATTTGCTCTTGTATGTCAGTGTGAAGTGAAACTCTTCATTTTGAATCAAAGACACGCAGGATAAAGTTTTCCTCTTCTCCTTCTAAGTGCAATGTCCTGAAACTTGGCCAGGCTGAGAGCGGGGTGTATGGCACAAGAAAGTGGGCTGGGAGGCAGTGGAGCAAAGCTGTAGTTAAAGGAACAAACTGCAAGGCATGAAGCAGAGCTGCACAGACACCCTACTAAGTGTGGTATTTGCCAAGGAAACAAGGTTTTCTGGGAAGTGATCCAATGGGCCAGAGCTCTAGTTATGCAAGGAAGGGGAAGGTGGCTGTGGTTATGATTCCACTGTTGGCCCCACAGGAGAAGACAGCGTAGGATCGGTCTGTAACCCAAATCAGCAAAAAGCATATTTGCACCATGCTTGCCCACAGCATACTGAAGAAGTAACAGGCGTGCATCCATTCACAGTACTGAAGTGAGGGGGCTGTATTCCCAGCTGCCACCAGCAATTCTGGGATCTGTGTGCAAAGTCCCCCAAACTGCTTCAGAACTTGCACTCCTGCCATGAGCTTATCTAGCCCAGAAGGCAACTGTTCCTTCAGGAACTGGTAAAAGCATCATGGCAAGCTTTCTCTAGCTAGGGAACACTTCTCCACATGTTTCCACAGCCCTGCGATATGGAGAGGGCTGCTCTGTGACAGCCTTTGATCTCAAACACTAGCAAGGAGCTGATCTCACAAACATGGCTGTGAGTCAGACTTTACAGCAGCACCACTTCCCATAAGGCAGAACCCAGCTACATTCTGCACGCGAAAGATTTGCTCTGTTTCAGTTTCACTGGAATTATGATTTGTGTCATGCCAGAGCCTTGGCAGAGGGCCTTTTCGTGGGATGTAGGTCCTGGAAAAGTCTGCAGCCATTAGTTTATTCAGGTAGTATGAGTTACCGATGAGTGAAGAACTTGTTGGTGCCCCAGAGGTGGGGAGAGAGATCATCCTCTCCTGATGAAAAGCAGCTCAGAAAATGTTATTCCATCCATTGCTTTTGTGAATAAAATGTACGTTTGGGTTGAATTTAGCAATTTTCATCATCTACAGATGAGACTTTTAAAACACTGAGGGATGAGGAGGAGAGTTGTCCTAACAGATTGGGGTACTATTGCCATGAGGTAACAGAATAAATCATTTAATTTGCTCTGCCTTGAAAAAGACCTTGTACTCCTATAGGAGTGTTGAGCAGTAAAGCCTGCTAATGGTGAATTTCTTGGGTTCTGCAGAGACACGCAACATTTTGGGTGCTCACTGGGAGGAGTGTGAGGTTTGTCAATGCATTATAGCCCTTTAACACCTGGACACCCAGCCGTCCTTCTGCTGCTTTTGGGTAGTGTGGAGTCCCCAGTCAGACTTAGCACTCCATTTCCCTGTCAAACATGTGCTGTCTTATGTCTATATGACCGTGCCTAGCATCTGAGAAGAGAAAGTTTTTGTGAAGGACTCCATCCTATCCCTGTCATGTTAAAGAGAAAAACTGCCAGGATCCCCTTTTAACTGGAAACACACTGAAACTTGTGCCTCTGAGCATAATGGGAAATCCCCTGAAAACATTTGGACCTCTCCTTTGAATGCCTTGGGAATTCTGAGGAGCTCCTAAAGGAATTTGACCTTATTTGTAACTCCATTCTTAATAAAGCTTCCACTTTGCTTTGCAGAGACAATATGCAGAGCATAGAGAGGTCTCTGGAGAAAAGGTTATTTACAAGCAACAAGTCGTTAATATCCTTCGGCACAGGGAACCCTTTGCCCCCTTTATCATGCTGTTTACAGCTGCCTCTGTCTGCATCTCTGAGTTTATACAAGAGAAGCTTATTTAAAAACTGGACTTTTCTTACCCAGATCTGAGTGTATAAGGTAAATACCTAATTAAGAGCCTGAGTAGCAAGAACCTGGATGTTAAAAAAAAAAAAACCTTTTTTAGTATTCAGTGGTATGATATCCTTGACCATGTTCAATGCACCTGATACGTTCACATGTACATTTTTATAGTAATAGCCCCTGAACCACAGGGAATGAGACGTGTTTAGCTTACTGCTAATACCAGGACTCAGGTCTCCTCTCAAGAACCCTGTCTCTCTCCATCAGATACAGAATCATAGAATGGCTTGAAAGAAACCTCAGAGATCATTCAGTTCCAATTCCCTGCTGTGGGCAGGGTTACCAACCCACTAGATCAGGCACCAGTATGGGTTGCCCGGGGCCCATCCAGCCTGGCCTTGAGCACCTCCAGGGATGGGGTGTCCACAGCATCTCTGGACAGCCTGAAAGATACAAAGCTACCACAGCAATTTCTGTCCTCTTCTGGTAGAAATAATCTGGGCTTGGTTTCCTGAGTTGGCACAGGATTGGAGGAGCAAAGCTCCAAAGCCTCGCTTCAGCTCATGGTGTGTAACTTAAACTCAGTAGTCTGCTGAGAAGTAGAATATTTTTATCACTTAATGTATAGATTCTCTCCTGTAATCTTATGTAGAGAAAACAGATGTGTTTGCAAAGCCCTGAGGAAACTCAGATGGAAGTGACTCTCTCTAGGTCATTGGATCTGATAAGGAAAGAGCAGAAAAATGAGTTTAGTGAAGAAGCCTGTGCCTTAGGTGCTCATTCCCTGGCATTTTTTTCATATTAATGCAAGAAGATGATTGAACCCTGTTTGTTTTGATTTCTTCCTCTTGAGGCAAATGTATATATGACTGGAACTAGAGCTTTCACGGTTCCTCTTATAAATATTTGTTATACCACATAAATAATAGGCTCTTTAAGTTTGTCTGTCCGTGATCAGATCTAGCATGTGAATTAGAATGAATTACATGCAATTAAAGAAAATCATTTCAATCTGTGGTATGTTCTATTCCACCTTATATTTCTGCCAGTGCAAGTCTGTAACTGGGCTCTAAACCTGGTCTTAAGTGAAATGCTTAAAAACAGAAGGTCTCCAAGCTGTGGAGGTGGGGCTATGAGGAGCAGCGACTGCTGGCACTGATGGGCTGGGGGTGGCAGGATAAGATCACAGAATCACAGAATGGCCAGGGTTGGAAGGGACCTCAAGGATCATGAATCTCCAACCCCCCTGCCACATGTAGGGCCACCAACCTAAGATGGCGGAGCTGCTGGAATGCTGCTGCTGATTTTAGTAATTAATAGGTAATGCCATGTAACGGGGTAATCCTTGAGCAGATCTGAGTGCTTGGGGCTGAAGCACTCTTGTGCCTTGGCCTTTCACCATGAATATGGCAGCCTTTAAAATGGCTCAAACATTGACTTCGTGGCATGAGCAGCAAGTACAATGGATTTGGACTCTGATTTTCATCTTTAAGGTTCCTACCAGGCTTCCAGAATTCTCCTTCCTGTAAGTGTGACTCCCTGCATGTATTTTACATTCACTGTAGAACCTGCTGTACTATATGTATAGCTATTAAGAACAAGTTTTTAGAGGCCGATCTGTTCGTATGTAATAAAACCCACAAGTACCCAGGTTTTAAAGCTAAGTAAATACCAGTTGCAGTTTAATTCACATAATACCTTATTAAATCTTAACCAAAATGAAAATCCATTTAGAACGCTAGGCTAAAGTGAAATGAAGGCTGTTTTCAGAAAGTTATTTTTCAGTTCTTAGTTTGTATGTTTCACTTTTTGTTTCGAAGC